CTCCTTCTCCTCCTCCTCCTCCTCCTCCTCCTCCTCCTCCTCCTCCTCCTCTTCCTCCTCCTCCTCCTCCTCCTCCACCTCCTCTTCCTCCTCCACCTCCTCTTCCTCCTCCTCCTCCTTCTACTTCCTCCTCCTCCTCTTCCTCCTTCTTCTTCCTCCTCCTCTTGTTCTTCCTCCTCCTGTTCCTCCTGTTCCCCCTCCTTCTTTCTTTTTCTTCTTCTTTTTTCTTCTTCCTCTTCTTCTTTGTAATTTTTATTGATTTCTATTTTGCATGTATTAGTATTTGCCTGAATTTCTGTACATACAAGCAATGCTCACAGAGGCAGAAGAAGGTGTTAAACCATCTGAGACTGGAGTTACAGATGGCTGTGACCAGCTCTGTGTGCTGAGAATCTAACCCAGGTCCTCTGTAAGAGTATCACACACTCTTACCATTTCAGCCACCTCTCCAGCCCTGATTTTTCCTTCATTAAAGAGAAGAAATATAATGTAATATAATTTCCTTCATGAAAATTATTATTATTACTATTATTATTATGTGCTTTAAAAATATACAATACGAGTTAACTATTATTAAAGATACACGGTTTTGTCCTAGCAACAATATTTAAGTATAAGTTCAGGCTGTAATTCACCATTTGCAAATTTATGGCCCAATTTGCTTGGATTTAGTATACTTTCATATTTGTAATACTGAGGCCATGGTGGCTGAAAGCTTCCTGTCTCCCAATTTACTTGTTATACATGGTGCTTACCATGTATTGATTAAATATAATCAAGACTTGTGTGTTCGCCATGTCAGAAAAAAGGGCACAGTTGTTTGGCTTTTCCCACTTAGAATAAACTTTGAGTCTTGTTCATAAACCTTTTCTTCATTATTCTTTACTTGCTGGAAATTTTCAAATTTTTTGGGTATGACAATTTGTTAATCAGTAGATGAATATTTGACTTTTTCCACTGGGGCTTCATTTATTATGGATGTTGTATTGTGTGTTCTTATGTTCTTATGCCTCTTGAGTATTTATTTCTCTTGACTATATGCTTAGGAGTAGTATAGATAGATAAATACATAGATAAATACATAGATATGATATGATATATATTATAAATTAATATATATTAAAGCACATATAGGCTGTTTTCTGAAGCAATCACACTTTTCCAATCTATAGTAACAGTATATGAGTATTTCAGGTTCACCATATTCTTGTCAACATTTATGATTATTGTTTTCATATTTTTTTATTGAAAACAGATTTTTTTCATACAAACTGTTCAAATCACAGTTTCCCTCTCCATTCTCCTCCCAGTTCTTCTTTACCTCTCCTCCAATTATAGGAAACTTAACAGGCTGAATTTGTATTGCATTTTCAATTTAAACCATATTTCTCTGATCTCTAATGATGTTAAATATCTTTACATCTGTTTATTATTTATTCATTCATTTGCTGTTTAGTTACTTATCTATTGCTGTGAAAAAGCACCATGGTTGAGGCAACTATTAACGGAGTTTATTTTAGGATTATTATTCTGGACGGATGAGTCCATCATTATCATAGCAGGCAGGCAGGCAGGCAGGCATGGTGCTAGAGTAGCAACTGGGAGCGTACATCTTGATCCACAAGCCAGGAGCAGGGAGATGGAACTCAAAATAGTGTAAGTCTTTTGTAACCTCAAAGCTGGATCCCAGCGGCCACATCTCTTAATCCTCTGCAAAGCGCCACCTACTGGGGACCAGGTATTTAAATGCCCAAGACTAACAAGGAAGATCTCATTCAAAGTACCCCATCTGCTAACTCCGATTTCTGCATTTTTGGCTGTTGTTGATATCTGCTGTGGATGCTATTTCAGCCGCTCTTTGTTTCCTTCATGACTTACTGGGATGACTTCTGTAAAGTCTCTATTTCTTGCCAGATTTAGTACCTATAACCTCTTACTTGATAGCTTAGTGTTTAGCTAGTGCACATCGTTGACAAGTGGCCATTTGCTGAGTGATTCTGTGAGAGTGTTGAAGCACATTTTGCTTTGGAAATTTCCAATTCTTCCTTACTCACTCCTTCCTGTGATAGTTAACACCTTAACCTGGCTAGAGACGTGACGTGTTTTGAATCCTCATTCAAAACCCACACTCTCGCACACATCTATGTTGACTTATAGATTGATGCCCAGAAGCCAGAAGAGCTTCAGACTCCTCAGCACACATCACATTCTTAGATATCCCGAATTTTGAGAATGCTCTTGTTTGGAGCAGCTGATAGTACCCCAGACAGGCAGCTGGGATCTTGAACATTAGCCACTGGTTCCTTTGTACTAATATCCTTGAAACTTGCCTCTATCCAATGAACAATCTTTAGGGCAGATCAAATCATAACAAAGTTACAAAAAAGAAAAACAAAGAAAAAAGAAAGAAAGAAAAGATTTTTTTCACAGCACTGCCAGGCAGGTCAAATGGTGGTAGGCCTGGAACATAGGAACTTTTCTGAGGGGCTTTAGACAATTGCCTTCCCTGTTGGTTACTGGACTTTATAGCTACTGCTGCTGTATTTGGAGACTGCCTTTGAAGTAGACAAACAGGTATGGAAATACAATGAGGTAATAAGGCAGAAAAGAAAAAGAGTCTATTCTTATAGAGACAAAGCAGTAAGTTCTTTTTTATTTAAAAAAAAAAACAACCTTTTTTTATTTTGATTATATTCTTTCCCTAGCCAACTTCTCCCAGATCCTGCCACACCAGCCCAACTTTGTGTTCTTCCTCCCTCTTAAAAATGAGAACAAAAAGAGCACATACTAAAGAACATGGTGTCCATTTTGTGTTAGCCAGTTGTTGCTGAGCATGAGGCCTGCCCTGGAGTGTGTTTGATCTACCCAGTGTCACTCCATTGAAGCAGACTGAGTTTACTCTCTTAGCACTCATCAGTAGCTTCTTGCTAAAGTAGGACTTTGTGTCCACTCCTCCATCTCCTCTGTGCTAAGATTTTCTATTGCTTGATCCAGCACGGGTCTTGTTTTTGTCGTCTATGTCTCTATGAGTTCATATGTAAACTCCATCAGTGTCATAGCTTCCTTGACAGAATCTCTGGCTCTCCCACTCTTTATGGATCGTCTTCAGCTTGGATCCCTGAATGCCAAAGGGCAGTGTAGCACACTGCGCTACAGTTGGTGTGAAGCTGAGTACCTCAGCCTCTTACTCTATTCACACTGTCCATTTGTAGGTCCCCTGTGTGAGTTACTCTGTACAGCATGAAAAACAAAATTCTCTGATGAGAATTAAGTAATACGCTGGTTGATCAGTATAGAATATGATACTAGGAGTCATTTTATTGCTATGCCCATTTAACAAATAATAGCAGTAAGTTTCCCCTGAGGCTTGTGACCTAACTAATCTCAAGTGCTTTTTTTCTCATTAATGGTGTCAGGTATGGACGCTTTCTCACCAAATATACCTAAAGAAAAATATATTGGGGAAGTGGGGAGGGGGTTATGCCTATAATATTTGTGTCACTATTTTATCAGTAGGTATATCTGTGGACACATTCTTTTTTCGGCACATTCATAAATAACTGTTATTTGAATTATTGTAAGTCCTTATCTGATTTCTGATTTTTACTATTCTGAAAAGGTGGTGTGTGTGTGTGTGTGTGTGTGTGTGTGTTAGGCCTAAGGTCAATCTTGATTTTTCCCTGTATTCCTCAGGAACAGCCTACACTGGTTTTGTTTGTTTGTTTGTTTGTTTGTTTGTTTGAGATGGAGTCTCATTTGGTTGAGACTCACCAAGTAAGCCGGCATGGTAGGCTGTTGAACTTCCTCCTGTCTTCACTCTCCCAGCCCTAGAATTACAAGTGTCGGGGTACTCTCAGCATTTTTACTTGACTTCTGAGAGTAGAACTCACATTCTCAGGCTTGCACAGCGACCACGACTTCTCCATCTCCCCTCCCCCCCATTCTCAGCACAAATCACTTGTAACCTGACATTTCCCACGTGAACATTCCTGTGATGGAATTGCCGTGGGCCAAGTAATGTGTGATATGTCCTCTTCATAAGTGATTCACTTCTTCACGAATATAAACTATACAGGCTGCACAGGGAAGAATGTATGACAAAACAGAAGCTACAATATGGACTGTGAATTTGTTTCCATACTATTAAAGTCTTTCATCGTTTTCCTCACAGGCTTGTTTTTGAAACTTCTAGGACACAGGGATATTTTAATCTATATAAAATCTGCTGTGTTACAACCACATTACTTTCCTTCCATTCCTGAGGAATAGAATAGAAGGAGAACTGAGATATTCTCTCTCTCTCTCTCTCTCTCTCTCTCTCTCTCTCTCTCTCTCTCTCTCTCACGCACGCACCCACCCACGCACGCGCACACACACACACACACATACACACACACTCCCTTATGGTATGTTGTACAACCTTTTCACAGCTTTCCTCAGTCATTTCCTCTGCCTGACCTGCTAGTCCTGTGTCCCTTTTGTTCCAACCTTTACAACCACTAATAGACTTGAGATTAGCCTCCCAGGTGTCAGATTCCTAGGGTAGGTAATGAATAGAACACTCTTTTTTTTTTTCACTTTCATGTTCTCAGATACTCTCAAACACATAGACTACTCTGTTACTTGCATATAATGAGATTTCCAATACTTTTGTTTATTGTTTTGTGTACATTAGAAACATATACTTCACAATTGCATGTTTCTGCACAGTTTTCCTTGGTGGCACTTTGTTTATGTTTCCAACATTGCATATTCTAACTCCTTTAAGTTAGGGATGTCCTGTTATTTATTATTATTGTAGTTGTCATTGTTGTTCTTTTTATTTTGCCTCTTAAGGGTCTAATAGGTCCAACTGCAGGTTTAGTGAAATTTCAGTAATTGGTTATTTTGGTGCATAGAGTAATGACTGTGAAAGTCTCTAAGTAAATTCTAAGAGGGTAAACATTTCAGACATCTTCTGCACTAATAGAACTGTCTTAGTTACTTTTCTATTGCTACAGAGAGACACCATGACCAAGGCAACTTAGGAATTTACTGGGCTCACAGTTCTTGAGGGTTATAGTATATGATCATTATAGCATGGCAGAGAACATGACAGCAGGCAGGCATGGCACTGGACCAGTAATTGAGATTTTACATTTTGATCCACAAGCATGAGGCACAGAGTTGGGAAGAGAGAGAGAGAGAGAGAGAGAGAGAGAGAGAGAGAGAGAGAGAGCACATTAAGTAGGAATGTTGTGTGGGCTTTTGCAACCTCAAAGCCCAGTGTCAGTGACATACCTCCTCCAATAAAGCCAAGCCTCAAAAACCCATTCCAACCAGTTCTAACAACTGGGGACCAAGTATTCAAATATGTGAGTTTATTGAAGCCATCTTCATTCAAACCAAGATATGAATCTTTGCATATTCATCCTCTTTCACTATCTCTTTGAAAAACTCTTAGGATCCATCTAAATGTCCACCCTTCTTAAAACCTCTTAATTTTTTTCAGCAGAGTTGGCCCTTGTCTTCTCTCTGTTTGAATGATACCTGGGTGATATTTATCCTTACCATACTGTTAGGATTATTTGTTTATGTCAGTTTTTATTAGAATAATGACAAAAACCAGGTGTCCAAAATAGTTTAACAAAAGTTAGCTTCTTGTTAATTTTTTGCCAACTTGACACAAAGAACCTGGGAAGCGAGAACTTCACTTGAAGGATGACTTCCATCAAATTGCCCTGTGAACATGTCAGGGAGCAATTGTTATTATTATTGATGATGATGATGATGATGATGATGATGGTTGATTGATTGTAGGAGGACCAAGCCCACGGTAGCTGGTTCCACCTTTGGCCACGTGAGTAATATAAGGAGGCAAGCTGAGCATTTCATAGAGAGCAAGCCAGTAAGCAGTATTCCTCAGTCTTTACCTTCATGTTCCTATCTTGACTTCCTCAGAAAAAAAGTATAAGGCAGATAAACATTTTCCTCTGCAGGTTGCTTTGGTCATAATTTTTATCATAACAACCGAAGTAACCTAGGATACTCTTGAAATAAATTACAAATATCCTTAAAGTTGTACTCCAAACACTGTTCCCTCACCCATGGTAAATTCACAATATCATTTCTATAATTAAGAAATTGATGTCAACATCTATACCTGAGTAGCTGCAGAAAATTTAAAGAACTAGTCCAATCTCATTTTTAGTGCAATCTCAATATTTCGGGTGCATAGCGATCCTTCTACATCAACGTCCCTCATCCATGGACTTAAGCACGGGCTGAAAATATCCAAGGAAATGACCCTGTAGTCTAGAGAAGGCTTAAACTATAAGAGTACTCACTTAAATTATGTGAAAGTAGTATTGCCAGTTTAGTAGATTTTAACATGTGCAGGGTTCTTGGAAGCAATGCTCATTGGATAGTGAGGTATGTAAGCTCTTAAGCCAGCAAGCTATGGGAAGCGAGGCAGGAAGCAACACTTGTCTCTGGAAACTACATTACTTCAGGTTCCTGCCCAGCTGGAGTTCCTGCCCTGACTTCCTTCAGTGATGGACGATTATTTGGGAATTTAAAATGAAAATAAACCCTTCCCTCCCCAAGTTGCTTTTGGTCCTGGTGTTTTATCAGATAAGGCGTATGAGCATCACTTCATACTTTTCATACCTTTATTCTAGTCTGAAGGGAAATTTGTACTTTATACACTGCTAATGACATAAAATTACATTACTTAGAATTGATTTAATTATGAGAATAACTTGTCTAACTCTGAGAGTATTCTTCACCTTAAAACAGTGTTAGTTTTACCAAAGCAGATTAGTTAAAGGAAAAATAGTGAATAAGAAAATATCTTCCAGAGGTGCTCTGTGAGCCGGTGACAAGCAGAAGAGGAGACCGAAGTCCCTTAGCATATAAAGACAGTAAGCAGAGGGCAAGGAAGCATTTCCCAGTGCATGATCCTTATTCCCTCAGAGGTCATCATTTACATCATATGTTCTATCTCTAGAGCAAAGATGTCCCAGCTGTTTTTCTGTTTCCATAGACAAGAGCTTATTAGCCTACTGTGCTATCTGTGCACAAGCCTTAACAATCACAGATTTTCCGAGATTCTTCAACTTGTGTTCTGCAAAGTTTGGCTGGTTGGGAATTTATAATATCCATTGTATCTTCCAGGGAGAACTCTTTGTTTTTCCGTTGATAGTTGGCCTAGTTCATTAATACCATCTTAAAACTAAAGCAGAAGCCAGACTATAATATTAACAGACAAACGTTCTATTCAGGAAGCCATGTAATGCACGCGAGAAGAGGGAGGCAGCTCTTTTGACTGTAAGGCTAAGGGCTAAGCTTTGAGAAAAGTGAGATCAATTCATGATTGCCTTTGTATTCTCCTTTCTGGATTACGATGTCTGTAAACACTGCAGTTCAACATATGACCAAACTAAGCTTGGATAGATAACTCTCAGTTACCATCTTTTGAAATACGCATGGTGGGTGATGTACATGAGGCTCTATACACACTTTTATTTCACAATCACTCAAGTACATGGCAACTCTCAAATCTGAGGAAGAACTTTCGGTATGCACTTTGATTACATTCAAGTATACTCAGAATGGTTTTTATATTAAAGGGTGGATTTAGATGTTGGAAGATGAGAATCCAGGCGAAGGCTGGAGAGATGGTTTAGTGGTTAAGAACTCTTCCAGAGATGCTGAGTTCAATTCCCAGCAACACAGGGTGACTCACAACCATCTGTAATGGCATCCAACGCCCTCTTCTAGTCTGTCTGAAGAGAGTGAGAGTGTACTCACATATATTAAATAAATAAATAAATAAATAAATAAATAAATAAATCTTATTTTAAAATTTTTTTTAAAGAATCCAGGCCAAAGCCTAGAACTTGTTTATGTGTCTGAGTTGATGATAGTCACAACAGTTTAAAATGAATTTAACGTCTCTTTTAATCACTAACAGTTATAGACCACTTGAGATTTCTGAAGCAACATCTAATTTTTATTGCCTTTTATTCAAATATATTTCTCATTAACTATGAACACCTAAAAGTAATAGCTACAACTTGTTCCCTTTTTAACCATTGAATAATTTTTATTTAGTCACTTTTTGTGCATGAGGTTTTACTTGAATGTGTGTATGTGCACCACATTAATGCCTAGTGTTTATGAAGGCCAAACAATGACATGCACATGCCCTGAAACTGGATTTAGAGACCGCTGTGAGCTGAAATGCGCGCATGGAGAATCAAACCCATGTTCTCTGGAAGTGCAGCAAGTGACCTTAAGCTATCTCTCTAGTCGTAAATATCAATACATTTTGGAAATTAATTAAACTTAATAAATAGGTATACCCTTAGTAATACGGTTATTTAATAGAATACTAGTTGATGGAGAAAGTTAATGAGTTCATTAGTTTCTTAAGGTCTGAGGCTATGTCAAAATTAAATAATTGAAAATAATAAAATTTCAAATTATAGATTTTTTCACATCAAAGAATTACCACAAACTACATATTGAAGGGTAACAGAATGATTTCCATAGCTAACATCATTCAGTTAAATAATAGTGAGAGTTTCTGAGAGGACCATTGTTAGAATTGTCAATTTAAAATTTAGGACTAACTTAAGATGCTAGCAATAAAAATGATAACTTAATACAATGGGTATTTGTACTGTAATTTTGCCTGCAGAATAAAATGTAGTTTTCAAAACTGTAGTCTTTTTATCTACTGAGTAGCATATATTTCTCTGTTTTAGTACTTATTTCCTATACGAAATTTTATTGTCAATATACAAAATTAATAAATTTTAGTTTATTTCAGGAAAAATATAGATGAACATGACCAATGGGAAAAATATCCCATGCATTTTTAATACTGAGTTGTTTAAGTAAAAGGAAGCATTTAAGGGCAGTTGGTTTAATTCACAGTATTGTATCATAACATTACTTCTGACATTGAGTATTTGCTTTGCATTTAGTTTTAATGTATAACTATGAACATATCATCACTTTTAGGGGGTCAACTGCCAAACTTAATAATTTCTCCCGATTACAACCAACGCTTCACCTGCTGGGTGTGCAGTTTGATCAGAATGTGGCTCAAAGCATCATCACAGAGAAGCCCGGGGCAGCAACCAAACTTCTGTATCAGTTGTACATTGCTCTTCAGAAAAAGAAGAAAACAGGGCTGACTGGACTGGAGATACAAACCATGCAACCCCAAACAAACTTGAGGCTTCAGGCCCTCAAAAGTGAGGCTTTTCGAGAGGTAGGTACAGAAAGATACCTAATAGGCATTCCCATGGGAAAAGCTGGTGTTTCTGCAGACTGGCTGTGAGATTGTAGTCTTGGGGATGCTCCCTTGAGGATATTTGTGTTACTTGTCATTCTGGGTGTTATTTTATGCTAATATCTTTAATTTGCTCATCTACCCTTGTCAACTCTGTTTACTAATCATACTACAAATAGTTTATTTAAGTCTGTTCCTCATTCCCAGCACTTTTTTATTTTTGTGACTAAATATAATTATATTATTTCTCTCTTCTTTTTCCTCACTTCAAACTGTCCAATATAACCTTTGCTCTCTTTTAAATTCATGCCCTCTTTTTTATTGTTATTATGTGTATACAAACACACACATCACACACACACATATATATATGTATATACACATACATATATATTATATACATATATATGTTATATATTATTTTATATATATATATATATATATATATATATATATATATATATATATAT